CTCCTTTTGCCTTCAATCTTTCCCAGCATCAGGGTCTTCTCCAAAGAAATCTCTCTTCGCAATCCTATGTCTACAATGGCCCTATCTTCTTGAAAAAAATAAAGGACAAGCCTGAAAAAGGGGCAATTCTGAGAGAGGTTCATCGGATTAAAAAAAATTGTTTGTGTTTATAACTTTGCTTTATGAAGGAAAATTCAAGAGCAAAACCAAGAAAAACTTTACAAAAATATTTATATTCTAATCAAAATATCTAAAACAATGTATGTAAATTTATTTTTAAAAGACCATTCAATTTCCATATTTTTCACATGAACATGGAAGGCTGAGCATTAAGGGTCAAAGCTAAATGACCAAAATAAAGGACAACAGTGAGTTTTTGACAGTCGTTTATAATAAAAGATGGATGGTCACTGTACCTATGTCCCAATGTTTATCTTGGTTTTGGCAGGAGCGACTTAAGACACCTATTTCACCTGTGAACACTCCCTAACACTGGCCTGATTTTTTTTTTCTGTTTTAGAAAGCAATCTACCCTCCAAGCAAAAACAACCCCCAAATTTAGTCCTATCCACCTGGGGACTCCTGAAGCCACCAGCCAGATGCAGTAGCTGTCAAAAGATTTTTAAAAGCCACATGACTCTAGGATTAGGTTGAAACACCGCTCCAGGATTCAGGAAATTGATATGGATTGTGACTCAGTTTTGGAGCTTCCTACTATCTCTGAAGCAGCCTTCAGTTCTCAACCAAACCTACCTCTCAGGGTTGTTAAAAGGAAAGTGTGGAAGAGAACAGCCTGTGCTCCTGGAATGAAACTTATTCTCAACAGCCTGCCTTGGCTCTGACATCGGATTATGAGCCTGTTTATGTAACAGCTCTACCAGAGGAATGATTGGTGGTGGAACTATGAACTCCTTGCCTCAGGAGATCAGATTAGTAATCTTTCCGATAGTTTTTCACCAACTAATTAACATCTTCCTGTTTAAATGTTTCCTATTTCTCCCAGAGGCTGTGTAAATTTTTGTTGCCTTTGCTTAGAGCCTATAATCTTCTTGGTAATTTTTATTTATAATTCTCATTATTTTAATAACTGTAATATTTGTGTATATAATATTTGCAATATTTAGCTACCACAATTTGTATCTCTGCAACTTCTGGGCGCTTTTCAGAGGTAGCCCCCAGGTAGAGCTCATTGCAATGGTCAAAGAAGGAGTGTGATATAAATCCAACAAAATTTGCAGAAGTAGATTTCAGCTATACATCTGGAAATCTTTCTAACAGTAGAAGCTAGGAAGGGACCCTCCCAGGTAATGGTGAATATACTTCCACCAGATGTATTCAGGCAGAACTGCACTTCCCATCCATTGTCAGGGTCTGCCAGATGCCTCATACCCAAAGTAATTCTTTGCAAGCAAGATTCTCACAGTCTTCTTTAACAAGATTTATTGAGATGAGTGGAATTTGTTGGAATAAAATGCTTGCTTATCAGAAACTTGATTCAGGCTTCTGCAGTGTGGACAGGCCAGTGGCCGGCACACGAACCAGAAACCTAGGATGAGGGAAGGTACCAGATAATAAAAGCACCTAAAAGCACGATAAGGCGATCACTGCTTG